TTTATATCATTATGTCTGGACTTGGGAAATCATAATTGTAAAGCATGACTTTTTTTTTTAATACTGAGAGAAGAGTTGTATTTTGAGGTGCTTTGATGTCATTTTCACCTCAATATCCAGTAGATTTACTTGATTCATCTGTGTCTTAGAGTCCACTTATTATTTTCTCTCACTAAGAAAGACACCACAGACTAGTCATCAAGATCAAAATTCTTTCTGGAGTTTTTTCTTTCTGCATTCAGCCCGGTGATTTCTCTGCTTTTGCTTCTTGTACACCTGCTACCACCTTAATTCAGCTTCTGATAGTTGTTCTTTGGACTGCTCTAGATCTCTGTTGGTTTGCCTGCTTCTAGTCATTACTGTCTCCTAAGTGGCCACTGCTCTGCCCCCAGAGGATTGTTCTGTTATAAAGTTGATCCTGTTATTCTAACTTACTTAAAAACATTTTTTTTCCACCATTGCTTGCTAACTACCTTTGAGACTGCTTTATATGGCATTTTTATCTCTTGTCAATCTTTTATAACCTTTGCTCTGATTACACAAAATTACTATTACTCTCTGGATGGATATTGTTTTTTCACATGTGGTCCTTTCTCATGTATTTTTGAATAATTGCCCATTCAATTTGTGCTTTGAAAAACACACTTATTTTTTTAGGAGCAGTGTCTGGAACCTGTTCCTGTGTGAAGCCTTTCCTAAAATCTGTCCAAGTGGATCTGATTTTCTCTTTTGTCCATTCATTGTTGCCTGTTCATTATTTCTACTCTTATACTAATTACATTGAATTCCAACTTCTGATTCACTAAACTTCTCCCTATAATAAAGCGAAGTTTAGGAATTCTCTGTCTTCTTTCTGTGTATTCAGTATGCATAATGCTTGGCACAAAGTAGACACTCAATTAAACACACTCAGGAATAGGGTAGAAACATTACATGTAGGAGTTAGAACAGTAAGAAAGTCTTTTAAACAAAGAAGAATTTCAGTTAAATTTTGAGCAAAGTGTCAGATTTAGGCAAGGAAAGGCCATGGGAGAGAGAAATGACCCAATAAACGAACACAACTAGAAAAATAGTATATTAGGAGAAAGAGTCTCATTGCTGTGAAATATATGTACTGGGTAAATACATTGGAAAAGTGAATTCTACTTCAAGTGTGATGAAATGCAAGTGAGATTTTAAAATTTGGATTTACATTTCTGGGCCTGGCGGTGTGGCGTAGCATCTGAAGTCCTCGCCTTGAACATGCTTGGAATCCCATATGGTCACCGGTTCTAATCCCGGCAGCCCCGCTTCCCATCCAGCTCCCTGCCTGTGGCCTGGGAAAGCAGTCAAGGACAGTCCAAAGCTTTGGGACCCTGCACCCGCATGGGAGACCTGGAAGAGGTTCCTGGTTCCTGGCTCCGGATCGGCACATCACTGGCCATTGCGGCTGCTTGGAGAGTGAACTGTAGGATGGAGGATCTTCCTCTCTGTCTCTCCTCCTCTCTGTGTATCTGACATTGTAATAAAAATGAATAAATCTTAAAAAATTGATTTACGCTTCTTTAGTTTTCTTTCCATTCTCCTTCTTGTCTAATTGGCGTGATAAATGATCTAATTTAGGAAGCCTGGCTACAGTCACTGCTAGGAACTGTGATGGGCAGAATGGGAGTTCCATTGTAGATGTGTTAGAAATGAGTTGAAATGTGATAGGACTAACAGGAGACTGGAGATGGGCTGCTGGACCTTGGGAGAGTGGGGAGAGCAGCAGGAGCCAAGAGGGGGCTAAGTTTCAGTGTTTTCACAAATTAGAGAATATATGTGGGGGAATCTTAATGAATAAGTAGTTAGTTGTATAAAAAATGTTACAAAAGGAGTGAACAAATGAGAGGAAAAATATAGAGTTGTTTGTATAATGTAGCTGCTACATGTGTGCTTTAGTATAATTCTCTTAGTCTGGTTCATTCAGCATTTATTGGTGGCTCCTTCTTAGGTGTGTTTTTATAAAACTGTCTTTGAAACAACAGGCTAAGTGATCCCTATGGAGTTGCTGATGATGCTGGAAAAGTCAATAAAGGGACTTCTACTTCTTCCCCCTTCAGGAACTTTAGTGTCACATTTTCATTACATATATATATATATATATGCTTTTATCTTTCTATATATTATATACAAATATTTTTATCTTTATATTTCATCTTTACCACTTCCCACCACATAATTTGAATGCACAGTAATTTCAGTTTGTATCTGTAGTAGAAATATCTTAGCGTTTATTTTATCATTCTGTCTGTAGTTTGGTGTTTTCAACTTTGGCCAATTCCTGCTTAGTAGGTTTACCGTGAGTGTGTCTTTAGAGTCTGGTGAAAACATGATGCTTTGGAACACAACTTAGCCATTTTGATTTCTAGCATAGGATTCTGTTTTGGTTTTTGGATTTGACACAAGCTACTTTGTATTCTTGTGTAAGCTGGAAGAAAAACCAGATGCCAGCTTAAAAAAAAAAAGATCAAATCATAGAAAATCTAAAACCACTTCTGTAAGATTCCCTTTAGACTTAGGTCATTTCTTTTTTTTTTTTTAAAGATTTATTTTTATTATTTTTTCATTTCAAGCTTAAATAATCGTTCTTAATATGGCTCCTATTGGTTGCTTTGGTAATCATCTTGTTGATTGGGAAAGAAAAATAATTAACTTGGGATTCATCAAAATAAGACTTGCAAATGGTTTTGGTTTTACTTGACTGATCGAAGACAGTATTAAGGGAATGAGTGATCAACTTTCCAATTGAAGACTTGTTTGGATAAAAATGAAAACTTTAAGTTGGTCTCCCTTACTTTGTGCTTTCTCAGAGTCCTTGATAGCTTTGTGTTATTTGCATTTGAAGGGGGGGCATAACCTAGTATTTTTGAGAGGAATAGAAAAGAGATTTTGTTTGACATGGAGCCTTAAATGCTTGAAAGATATGTGTGCCTTATATAAAAATGTAAATTAAATGTTTTGGGTGCCTTCTGTATCTCCCTTTGTTATTGAAGCCATGTTTTTCTGTAAGTAAAGTCAAAATATCAGTGGGTAATATGCAGAGAAACAAGTTTGTCCATTGATTCAAATCTCTGGAATGTAGATTCTCTTCATTTTCTTGGCAGAAACTAGCTAACACAGCTCAAGTTTTTCCTCTGTCCTATTATAATTGTCTAGATCAGTGCTTGAACTAACTTCTCATGTTTAATATCAATCTTGAATTTCTTAATCTTATTCAGAAGCTTTGAAAACTCTTGCTTTTTCCTCCTAAACAAATTTCTTATTTCTGAGGAGAAAAATATCATATTTTGAGAGGCTACAAGCTCAGACTTTGTTGGCAAGATGTTAAGTAGGCAGCCAATGGAAGCTGGTATCACAGGTGGTGAAAGGATTCACTAGAGCAGCTGGAGTGAGTGAGCAGAATTAGATTTATTGAACAAACTGCAAGAAAGCAGCATGCAGACAGAGCAGAAGCTGGCAGCTGCAACAAGGACTATAATCTGAGGAGTGGTTTTGTCATGGCTATCTCTTTATGGTCACAGTGAGCTTTCTTGTGGTCCAGTGAACTCTCGCAATTAGGAAATTTGCCTTACAAGGCAGACCTGGGGTATTTGTACCCTTGCACCTTTTCCAGTTAAGTGCCCCAGGATAACCTTCTACACTGAGAATTTCATTTAAATGAAAAAAGGAATGATCCTTTGGGAAATGTGTCTGGAATATGCTGGATTAAAACAAGTGGGGCCAGTTTCTTTAAAAACAAGACTACTTGCAACTTTCATTCTGTGAATGTGCATTGCATGTCTGCAGGAATGCTGCATGGCAGTCAGGGTTTCTCCCTGACAGGATCTCAGAATTTTTATGTGGGAAATCCTTTTTCTCATGCTTTGTGGCATTGATCCAGAATTTAGAGGGTCATACTTTGGGTTTCTGATTTCTCATTCACCAACCTTTTAACCTCAAACAGATCCTTTTCTTCTAGCCTTGGTTTCCTGAGTATTGCTCAGTTTGCTTGGAGTTCTAAAGTTGTGTAGTTTAATGCTTATATTGTTTAGTCTGAATATGCATACATTGCCTTGTTTTGTGTTTACTGAAACCACATCATCATATCATTCTATTTTATTTGAACAAGGGAATTATACTTATCTTTCTACAAAAGTTCAGAAGAAAAACCATTTTTGAAAAAAGATTTATCTATTTCAAAGGGTGAGCATCAGAGAGAAAAGAAGAGAGATCAGCTGATTAACTTTTCAAATGACTGCAATGCCAGGTCTCAGCCAGGACAAAGCCACGAGCCAGGATCTCCAGTCTTGTCTCCCACATGGGTGGCAGGGATCCAAGTACTTGGGCAACTTTCAACTGATTTCCCAAGTGCATTAGCAGGGAGTTGGATTGGAAGAGGAGCAGCCAGGAGCAATTGGTAGTAGAACTAGGACTCCAAAATGGGATGCTGACATCCCAATCTGCAGCTTGGACACTCTAAACGGTAGCTTAAACTGCAGCACCATGGTGCCAGCCCTAGAAACCCTTTTGCAAAACCCTTTTTCACAGAGTATGAACACTGTTAGTCCAAATCACACTCTGAAAATAGTTCATCTTCCTGACTACATTTTACTGATGTGTTATTTCCAATGAAATAAAATGAAGTATGGACTCCCATTCCTTTCTCCCTTAACCACTGTGGTTTGAGTCCTTTGTACTGCCTGCCTACTTAAGCAAAAATTGTGTATTTCATTTTGTGATGATTTAGTGGCTATAACTGAAAAGTACTATGATGATACTATCTTTTCTTCTGTAATAACTTGCAGAAGGAGCTAAATAGGTTACCTCCAGGTTTGAAATAATATATTTAACTGTTTCTAGGGTTAAAATTTATATTTATGTATATATTTAGTGATTTTATCATAGTGTTTTAATATAGCAATTTGTTTAACAGTTTAAATTTGTTGAAAGCTTACTTAATTTTTTTTCCTATGTCCCTTTCTCTCATTTTCTTATCCTAGGCCCAACAACAAAGAAACCTGGATAACGTTATCTTGCAACAACCCAGAATAGGTAGCAAGAGAAAATCTAAGAAAGAAGCATATACAATCTTTGATACAGAGATAGAAAGCACCAGCCCCAAGTCTGAACAGGATTCAGGAATTCTGGATGTTGAAGATGAAGAAGATGATGAAGAGGTAACTGATGTTTGATATGGGAAGCCTTGTCTGTTTTGAGCTTTATGCTGATATGCTTGAGATGTGCTGAATGAATTATCTGTGTAATATAGTTTGTTTGATTTCCTGGATATTAAGTATCATTTCAAATACAAATGGGCTCTACTTTAAGGAAACTAAAGATGCACCAAGATCATTCAAATTCTGGTTCTTCAGGAGAATTTTTATTTTTGTTTGTTTGAGAGGTAGGAATGCACATTTCCACACTGGCTGAGATTGGGTTGGGCTGAAACAGGAAGCCAGGAACTCAATCCAATCTCATATGAATGGTAAAAATCCATTTTTTAACACATCACAGCAGCCTTCTAGAGTCTACATTATCAGAAAGCTGAAGTCCGGAGCCAGAGTTGGCTCTCTAGCTGAGCTATTCTAGAATTGAATGTGGGCATCCTAACCTGCATCTAGACTGCGAGGCTAAAACCTGTCCAAAATTGAGAGTTTTTAAAATGTATTTTCAGGCCCAGTGGCATGGCCTAGCATCAAAAGTCCTCGCCTTGAACATGCTGGGATCCCATATGGTCGCTGATTCTAATCCCGGCAGTTCCACTTTCTATCCAGCTCCCTGCTTGTGGCCTGGGAAAGCAGTCAAGGACGGCCCAAAGCTTTGGGACCCTGTACCCGCATGTGGGAGACCTGGAAGAGGTTCTGGCTCCTGGCTTCAGATTGGCCTAGCATCGGCCGTTGCGGCTGCTTGGAGAGTGAACTGTAGGATGGAGGATCTTCTCTGTCTCTCCTCCTCTCTGTATATCTGTCTTTCCAATAAATAAACAAATCTTTTTAAAAATTTTATACGACCTCGATATACCTTAGGAAAGTATATAGTTTATCTGACCTAAAGACATGAAGTGAAAAATATTTTTGAAATATGTAAGGAGTGAAGAAGCAGTTTTCATCACCTTTAGTAGAGGTTTAGATTGAAAAGCATTAAAATATCGCAGGAAGGGGACTGTCTAGCTCCTGAGGATGTAAGTGTATCAGTGATTATACAATATCTGGAAATTTTGTGACATATGTATTCCCCCCTAGATTGCGTGTTTATATCAGGCAGTGATAAGATAAAGTAGCTTAACTAGTATATTTTAAAAAATGCTTCTTCCATAGAAGGTCTCCCCAAGAGGCCACTGAACTTATCTGGACAATAGGACACGGAACTTTATGCTAGGCATGTGTTTGCAAGCAATGAATCTCAACTGAACTTGATCTATGGTTATGCAACAAGGTGGAGGAATCCACCATGGGGGGAGGGGTGTGGGAGGGGTGGGGGGAATCCCCAGCGCCTATGGAGCTGTACTACATAATACAATGTAAGCAACAATAATAAAAAAAAAAATAAATAAATAAAAAATGCTTCTTTGTTGTTGGAAGCATATTAAATGTAGTTTTGAAAATAAAGTTGTGTGATATCTGATATTTTCCATTAAAATGTTCCTTTCCTGAATAGTTGGTGTTTACCTACACTGAATTAGTTATTTTTTTCATTTGTTTCTTTTTTTGAGTGTAGTTTATAGAAACATGAGATTTGACATCATACAGATGCTATTAAAATCCTGGCTCTGCCATTTTGTTCAAAAATATTAATAGTCATGTCATTTGTTTAAAATGGCCCCTGACATGCATGCAGAATCATTTACTCCTGTGTTCAGTACTGTTGTAGTTAGTGTTCTGTTTTACTCAGTAACCTGTACTTGTCCCCTTGTTTTGATTTCCTTTCTTCAGTTAAACCTGAGTTTACTGGATCTCCTCTGTTGTTGTCCTTGTAGCTTGACTACCGTTGTTGTTCTTCTCTGCCCCCCAAAACTGTGCCCCCAAACTGGTCACTAACTTACTTTGCAATCTTAGGTAAATTGTTTAATGTGTTGAACCTAGTATCTTTTTTTTCTGTTTTACTTTTTTTTTTGCTAATAGTTTGATTGTCCACTTAAAAAATGAATGCAATGAAAGCAAACGTAAAGATATTAGCTTATTACATATATTCCAAAGAAATGCTGTCTTCTTATTAATTGAATATACTGAAAAAAATCACCAATATTTTTTAAGGATATGTCTTGGCAGACAAATGAATCTTCAGTACAATATATTATATTCCCTGTACTATCCTAAGTCTTTGCACAGAATGCTCTTATCGTGAAGATGATTATCATGTCAGTATAAGATAGTTTCTAAACTACTTTCCTGCAAAGATAATTTAAAATCCATTCCCATCTCCAAGAAGCTAAAAATTGTCACTAGAAAAACAGAGCTTTGATTTTCAGTTGGACAAATGTGACTACTGTATCATTAACCAGGGATCTTATCTTATTAATGATCTCATTAAAATGGGTAAATGAAAATACGTTTTATTATTTTGGTACCCAGTATAACTGAAGAGGCATTATAATTATACCATAAGTAGCTTATTTTCTCTTAGCATTGTTATCTAGAACCTAATATCTTCAGCTGGTAAGACAGTAGATTATGCTCTGTAGGATTGCAAACATGCCCGCTCTGCAAAAGATGATCAAGAATGCTAATTTTTTTGTTGTTTTTTTGATTTTTTCCTTGCTGACTTCTATTATGTATCTCTACTGTCATTGTGCATCTCCTAATGATCATTTTTTTAATCAAAAAGCAGATCAAGTTAGTACAGTTTAAACTTAGACTGAACAGCAAACAAATTGATTATATGTCTCAGTATTAGCATCTAAGTTTAGTTAAATATCTGAGAAACTGTTAACATGTAGAAAGTGTATTATATCCTGTAAAATGGTTTATCATTGTTAAGGGGACACATTTCTGCAATCTAAGTGAATGATTATGCTTATCATTTTGAGCTAAAGTATGTACTTTACTAGGATGTATTTATTATACAAAAGGGGCACAGTAACAGTTAACAGTACTTGAGAATCTCTTCCTAATTTATACTGTCCTTGGATAATGAGAATTCTTAATAATCATTAGAGCCAAGAAAAGTCTTTCAAGTGCTGTCTGATGCACCATTTTGGAACAAAAGATCCAACCGGTGGCCTGGTCACTGTTGGTGATAGCAGGGGCAGAGAGGATTTGATCCCCCGGAATATTCTCTAGCATTCTCCCTTCCTGCCTGGAATGATTGGTATGTTAGGACATGGATCCACCCTAGAGACTGTCAGCTGTTATTCTCATCACAAACAACTGGTTACAGTGGTAACACAGGAAAACTTCAATCTGAGGAAAGACTGATTTATTTATAATTTGAGTAGCCATCAAGAAAATGAAAATTATCAAACACTGTCACTTATGGAAACAGAAACTATATTTATTTTTTTCCTCTGAATGATACATACCCTGAACATTGTGTGTAGGATGATAAGATCAAGGGATAAATGCATAAGCAGTTCTTATATTTCATTGAGAATCTTCTAGAGAAAAAAAAGACTTTGTAGAGTGTATATTTGATGATGTGATCAAGGAATGAAGTGTGTATGCAGGTCTTATATAGCATCGAGAACTGAATGAGTAGGAACCATGTTTATCACTAGCTCACTGAAAACCTTAATCTTTTAAAGTTTTGTGCCGTGCTTGTTTGCTTTGTCCTGTGAGATTCAGAGAAGATAATAAAAAATGAGAGTTGTAAAGTATATTGGGGTTTCCTAATAGATAAAATATTGTAAGAATGTATTTGGAAGTTAGTATTTTTAACTATCTTCCCATATCCCATAACTAAAATCCCATATCCCAGATCAAACAATTCATACTAGAGTTATGCTGATTGGACTCTTACAACAAGAATTCATCACTTCCCTGTCATGTAATGGCATCCTATCTTAAAAAATGCTACCTTATGTTTATTTACTTCTCAGTTTGAATCTTCTTCAAGTGCACATTCTTAATCTCAAACCTCATGTAGAGAATTATTTATTTAGATGTCTCCAAACTGGTTTCTTGGCATAGTTCTTGCATGGTGTGAATAAATTCTTCAGATAAGGTCTTTCGTGACCCACTGTGACGTTCTGACCTTCATTCTTGTCATTCTTCAACAGACCTCTTTGAGAACAAAATAGTTTTTGGAATACTATGACTTTGAATCTGTGAGTATGCTAGCTCTGGCATACAATACCGTAGGATAGTGATTATTCATCTGTTTGTGGTAATATATAAAAGTTTGATGAAAATTATATGGAGTCTTTCCAGTAAGATGTACATACATTTCAAGGTATTCATGAAATCTTTGTCACCCCATGACCCAGCCAGAGAACCCATATATAGAGCAGTTCTTCATGAATTTTAATATACATAGGTATTAGGTGGGAAAAGTATTAAAATGCAGATTTCCATTCTACAGGCAGATGAATCTGAGAGGCTGCATTTTAAACAAAATCCTAGATGAAGATGACACCACAGGAGTTGCAAGATTTTAGAAGATCTTGGGGGATCTTTTTTTTGTGCAAAAATAAATAATCCCATGAATGATTGGGACGCCTATTGATTTGCCATTGGAATGATTTAATTTTTTTCTGGAAATAAGTGTAATATTTGAAGAGAAGGATATAGTTTACTTTCTAAAATCTCTTGCTTATAAGAATTACTAGTTTTTCAGTTAAATACTTTAGTTTAAGCATTCTCTTCTTCTGAGAACTTGTCCTATGCAAGAATATGTAATGCAATCTTTGAGTTGAATGATATTGTTAAACTATTTATTATGCCATACTTCATTAGAATATTGAAATGGGTACATAGGGGATCACAGCCTTTGCACATTGTACACAGATAGTTAATGCATTATTAAACTAAAATGACATTTCTTTTAGAAATGGGAAAAACTTAATAGTTTAGGTAAGTGACAATTATGTTCCAGTAGTCAGTTGTTATCCTGAATAAAAAACCAACTTACACAGTTGAAGCAGCTCATGGAATGAGAGCGCCACCTCTCCTCCAGAGTCACTCTCCTAGTGATTGTTGAGAAGTGTTGCAAAGAAAGTATTCTGTAGTAAAACTGTCTCCAT